GAATATAGTCAAGATTTGGTCTGTTAAGACCAAATTTACCGACCAAGGTGAACTGGAAGGGAGATGCCAGCTTGAGCACTTCATCATCAGTCAAAAGAATGGCAGGAACTCCATTAAAAATTGTTTGGGATAAGTTAGGGAGGACATCACCTTAAGATGCGCCACCTGAGAGAACATCCTTAAAAGATCGCGATCTAGAGGGCGAACCAACACCTGCTTCAAGATTAAAAAAGCCTTTGTTTTTTATCAGCTCAGGATCAGCCATAGCGCCCCAAGGGTTTGGGGGCTGTGAAGCAGCCATCAACGAACCAGCCCTCGCAGGGCGAAAAGCAGAAAACGAACAGAGCTAGACAAAAAACAAAGAAAACCGGAAAAACTGGCAGGAAAAATAGCTAAAATGGACGGAGACGAAGGAGGAAAAGCGGAAACCCTAAATCGCCAGAGCGTCGGGTTTTGCTTCGCGTCAAAATGATAATGCTATTATAGTTAAATATTTTATATGCAATAAATTTGAGAATGATTTAATAAGTGATGATCATAATATATATATATAATATATATATATATATATATATATATATATATATACTTTTATAGATTACATGTGATGAAAAATAAAATATGCTAAATGAATATTAAATGAAAATAAAAGTATTAAAAAAATAAAAAAAGTGCATGCATTTAAATATATGAATTCACCCTCTTATGATAATCGTGCAAATAAATAAAAATGAAAATGAAAATAATTATACCTTTACTTGTACAAAATATTAGACAATACTCATGTACTAATTGAAAAGGGAAAAGTAATAAATAAAAATAAAAAATGAATAAATAAAATAGAAAAAAAATAAATTGTTTAAAAGACATATAATTAAAATCTACTGCATATAAAATCTTATGAGTATGCTACAACATATGAAATGTAACAAATATATTAATTACGAGAAAGGTAAAGAAACATGATTTTTGTGTGTATATTTAACTACTATACTACAAGCTATGATTATTCACTGAGTTACTATGTAAACTCAAACTATCAAACTTAAATTTCAAGCAAATCTTTCAAAAAATTTCTAAAAGAGTAGAATATATTTACAAAAGAAGAAGATTGAATGACAATAAGTAAAATCTAATTTTTGACTATGTTAAATTTATATATTTGTTAGTGGCTCTTCAATTTTATGTGAGATATTAGTTTGTTAATTATTTATATATTTGAAAGAAATGTATTAACCGTTTGACCACCTATTTATGCCTTGTTAGTTTGAGACTCTAGGCTGGGTCATGACAGTATAAAAGTTTGTTTACTTGCGAGTTTACTTGGGACTTTATGCCTTTTGTCATTTTAACTTACTCGTTCTTCCCTAGTTACTTAAACCTTGCTACTACAAATTCAGCCAGCTCCCATATACCTGAAAGGCTTAATAGTCCAAATTCTCCTATTGGATTTGGGAGTGGGGTTTCTCAGTGGTATGATACTCCATCAATTGAAGAGCATACTACAAAGCCCTTTTATTTGCTATTCAAAAAACATGGTTGCTCAAAGGTACATTGAGCATATTTTCTCTTAATAAATAAATTTTTTTCTCATAAAGGATTTGGCTCTTGAAGATTAAGACAATGCTTGGATTGGGAGCCCATGGCTTTTCATAGGTAAACCCTTTATACTTCAGAAATGACCCCCTAATTCAAACCTTAGTGAGACGTGCTTTCTTTTATACATCTTTTGATAAAGATCCAAGATTTTCCTCTTTTTAACTGTAATCTTGAGAGTATCTCTAAAATTGTAAGTTTAATCGGTTCCCCTCTTGTAGTTGACATCTTAAATATAGGGAAAATACATCTCACAGTTATGAGAGCATGTGTTCAAGTACATAACAAATCCCCCTATTGGATTAGATTACGATCTCTCATTTTTTGGAAAAAAAATTACTCTTTGGGTCCAATATGACTTGAAACCCATCCATTATATATGAATGTTACAATTCAATCATTCACTCTTCTAACTTATGTTCCTTCAATCTCAACACTAACTATAATTTTGTAACTAAATCAAAAGGTAGAAGTTCTAGTCATAAGCCATCATCCTTCATCTACTAATTTCATCCACTCATCGACTAATACCTCCACCATACGTAATTCAACTATCCCTCAAGCACCAACCCTCCTCACAACCCCTCATTATCACTCACCCTTCCCCTACCAGCTTACATTCCTCGTTTTGGGAATCCTAACCCTCATCTAAATGTTGCAACCTTGAGCACCTCAAGTCTTGGAAAAGAACTTATCACAAACTTTAAATTCCACTTAGATTATCAACCAGCCTAGTGAAAATTTAAAGTATTCAGAAGAGTCTGATCATTATCCTAACGAAAAATTGTTCTATTCCAAATTTGACATTTGCAAAGCATTCAACATAATTTCGATCTATAAGTTTTACGCTTTTTTTTAAATGACATTTGCAAAGCATTCAACATAATTTCAATCTATAAGTTTTACGCTTCAATGCTTAGAACAAAAAAGAATTTTTTTTCTATTTTTATTTTTTTAGATCAAAGTATTGATAAAGTCCATTATGGTTCATGCATAAATAAAGCTCTTGAAGATTATTGTGACTCCTCAACTAGCTAGAGATAAGTGTCTACACTCTTTCCTTATTTTATATCATTATGGATGACCTTGCCCTTTTTTTTTTTCTTTTAAGTAAATATATCGGTCGCAAGACATAAAAACAGTCTAATCTTGACGTGCATATGTACTCATTACAACCCTTTACCATGTTCCCATCTCCCTAGACCTTACTGATTCTCAGCCCACAAAAAACCGGCCAGCATGCTCGCCGGCAACCCCCACTTCTCCTCAGCCAACCCTTCGGGTGACTACTCCTCCGCCGCCGCCGCCGGAGAGGCCCGGCCAAGCCGCTACGAATCTCAGAAACGGCGGGACTGGAACACCTTCAGCCAATACCTGCGCAACCACCGACCACCTCTCGCCCTCTCCCGCTGCAGTGGCGCCCACGTGCTCGAATTCCTCCGCTACCTCGACCAGTTCGGCAAGACCAAGGTCCACGCCGTCGGCTGCCCGTTTTTCGGTCAACCCTGCCCTCCAGCCCCCTGCCCCTGCCCGCTCCGCCAAGCTTGGGGCAGCCTAGACGCCCTTGTCGGCCGCCTCCGCGCCGCCTTTGAGGAGAACGGCGGCGAGCCGGAAGCCAATCCGTTCGGTGTGCGAGCCGTACGCCTTTACCTCCGGGAGGTTAGGGATTCTCAGGTAAGGCGGCGCAGATGGAGAAATTATTGTGTACACAGTTTGAACGCAGAGATTGGATTTACTGTTTATAATTTTTTTTTACGTATTTTTTTCATATTTATTATGTATTTAGTGAGTATTATTATTTGCTGCTTATTTGCCGCTCATTTACCGTGTATCAAAAATACGCAGCAAAATAAACAGTAAATACGTAGTAATCCGAATCTTTCTCTACGTTCGGACTACGTACGCAATAATTTCTCGTGCAGAAGACGAGTATTTGATAAAAAATTTCAGATTAATCTTTTGAAAAATTTATGCGTATTTACTGCTTTTTTTGCTACGTATTTTTTCTGCATACATATTTATTGTATATTCTGAGTATTTAGTGAGTATTATTATTTGCTGCTTATTTGCCGCTCATTTACCGTGTATCAAAAAACACACAGCAAAAAAAAAACAATAAATACGAAGCAAACATCAATTCCTTTGCATTGCGTATTTACTGTTTATTTTGCTTCATATTTTTTGATATACAATAAATGAGTGGCAAATGAGCATTAAATAATAATAATCACTGAATACACAATAAATACGCAAAAAATACATAGAAAAAATTGTGTATCAAAAAATATGTAGCAAAATAAGCAGTAAATACTCAGCATCCGAACCGTTTTTTGAGTTCGGATTGCGTACACAATAATTTCTCATATTTGATAATTTTTTTTTCCTTTTTAAACGAAAAGCTGAGATCAGAGCACAATATATATATTGGGAGAGAATTGGATCGGACTGTTATAAGAAATTAATTAAATTTTTTTTTTTGGAATATATTTAATTAAAATCTTCATTTCATACTTTTTGCAGGCAAAGGCGCGAGGCATCGCATATGAGAAGAAGAAGCGGAAAAGGCCGGCGGCGAACGCGTCGGCGGCGGGCGGTGGTGGAGTGGATGTGGAGCCTGTGAGGATGATGATGGCGGATGGAAGGGAGCAGATGGTAATGATGGCTGTGGATTACACTGGCGAGCTGATACCTCTTTGAGGGTTAAGTAATTATGATTTAATTAATGGTTAGATCGTTAATCATCTCATATTTCTTGTGGAAGAAGTCCGGATACTTACATAAATAAAGATTATTGTATTACATAGAGTTCCCCTCTCTCTCTCCTCCGTGCGTCCACTGACTGTCCGGAGCCGGACTGTCCGGAGGTCAATCATGACACGCCACATCATCTGATATACAACGGTGGAAAATAATGGTACACGTCCTATGATAATGTGGTGCATTCTGATTGGCCTCCGGAGATATCCGATGACCGCACGTAATAATTTCGCCAAAAAAGATTACAGTCTTCAGAGGAATTAATAACTCAAAAATTGCTGGATAAAGAAAGTCTAAGGAGTCGTTGATTCCTGTATCAAAAAAATATATTGCAACTAGCAAATTAATAGACTGAATATATCATTATATTTTTATAAATAAAATTAAATTATGAATTTTTAATATTATTTTCTTAGAATATTATTTATTTGTATTATATTTATGAATATTTTTTTTCTATGTTATCCAATAATTTAGTTGTATATCTCAAACAAATTTAGTTGTTTTGTGTTTAATAGAATAAATAAAACATTTGTTTCTTGTTAAAGCCATTGATTTAACCTAAATTAATCATTATTGTTTAAAATTTTCATTAATTCATATTATATTAAAAGGAAATACTATAAATAGCATCGATCACTACTCTCTTTTGGAAAAAGTTTCATCTTGAACTTCTTTCTTTTCCTTTAGAAATTGGATCTTTCTCTCTAAAGTTTTCAAACCATGAGGTTGCCAAAATGTTATTAAAGATTGAGAGGCAAGGAAGGGTTTTGATGAATGTTCATCTTCTCCTCCTTTGAAACTAATAAAAGAGGAAGTTAATGGCAATAAAAAGTTGTTACCATAGTATCCACTATAAATTAACCTCATGATATATTGCATCCAAGTAAATAAATTATTAATAGTTTTTTCTCTACCAAGCTCGTTTTGGATGGCAATCAGACACATTACGATGCCATTATTATATGTTCTCAGTCATATGTCAAAGAAGGCCACCCGAGTGGATGATTCTCTAAATTATGTTGTTGTTAATGATAAACATGGGCAAGCTTCAAATTGGAGTTTTACTTTAGCGAAGATTTTGGGGTTTCAGCTCTAGAGGAATGTGAGCTTTTGAATACGTTGAAGATAATGAGCTTTGTTTCTTTCATGGCCAATTTTTCCTTTGATTGAGATTTTTTTGTCTTCTTAGGATGTCAAACACCCTTCAGTGCTACAGTTTGATTACATTCTAAATTATTTACTTTCATTATCATAATGAATATTTCATCTTTACTTCATTTATTTTTTCACAAAATAAAGTTACAAGATGATTTTCGTAACATAATATGCTCCAATTCTAATTATAGATGCATCCCAAGTCACCTCAAAGCTTTAGCGAAATCAGGGAGCCTAAGGATTGGATCATCATAAGAATCATAATTTAATCTAAGGCCTTTTGTGCAATTGGTGTCCGACAAAATTTATCAAATCTTAGTAAGTTAATGATTGGAACAATAATGACACTAAATATTTAATGAATTATCTATAAAAAATTACTAAGCCATGGAAACTTCTATCATGAGTGAAACTCTTAGGTGTTAGTCAATCTAAGATCGCTTTAACTTTGATAGAGTCATATTTTATTCCAATAATGAAAATAATAAATCTCAAAAGAAGCACTTCATTTTATAAAAAGAGACATGCATTTCCTTAAATTTATGAATAGTCTTTCTTTCCTGAGAGTTTCAAAAATATGTCTAAGGTATTGTAGCTAATCTTTCTGATTTGAGCTAAAAATCAATATATCATCAAAATAATTAAATGAAAACTTTTATATAAAGGGCTTAAGAATGGTATTCATCAACATCATAAATGCGCTAGGGGGATTTCAAATTCCAAAAGGCATAACTAACCCTTCATAAAGCTCATTATTGATTTTTAAAGCAGATTTTCATGCACTCATCACTTAAATGAATTCTAATTTAGTAATAACTACTTTTCATATCAAATTTTGAGAAAAATTTACCCTCGAGATCAAGTATAACATGTCATCTAGTCAAGGAATACAAAATCTTTACTTGATAGCAATTTTATTTATATCTTCACTATTGATGTTGTTGTTGCATCATTAAACATTCATCATGCTTCATCCTTCTTAGGAGGTAGTAAACCTCGAACAACACAAGGACTAATTAGACTTTCTTATACAAGACCTTTCTGAAGTAACTCAACTTTTTTCTTAATTTTACTGTATTCGCGATAGGATTCATTTTATAATGAGGAAGGCTTGGTAGTTGTGAGCCTAGAATTAATCCAATCGCATGTTTAATAGTTCTAGGACGGGTTAATTCATCAAGAAGTTGTTTGGGTGCAATATCACAAACTCTAATCAGAGTAGAGAAATCATAGTACTTAGATATGTGAGACTCATTTGATTTTGGGGTCACTTCTTTTACACGTAATAATTGAGTACTGGAATTAAAAAAAAAAAAGATATCTTTTTCGGAGTTTCATATCTTATTGTTTCTACCCATTAGGTCACAAAAATAGGTCAAATAGTGGTGCTTAAATCAAGCTTTTGGGATATTTGGCTATACATTTTTAAAATTATATTACTAACATGTTAAGTTACATACAAAGAAGAATGATTTATGATGTTACCTTCCCTAATACATATGTCATGCATGGATCAGAACATGTATTGCATGGCCAATGATTTCAGAACTTTTTAGCATGATTGAATGTCTTAAAACGTCATCAAATTCCACCATGGCATGGTTTTGTGCCATGCATCGAAGTGGCAACATTCGATGGACGGATCCAAATGCCATCATGGAGGACATGAAGACCATACATGAAAGTAGTATCATATTCATATGACACACACCATGACAGCTTTTTTTACATTTTTTTTTTTAAATTAGGTTTGTTTTTTATTTATTTTCTTAAGAAATATTTTGTCCATTTAACTTGTGAGTCTCAAAATATTATGACTTTATATTTTATGTACTTTGTTTAAGAAAATTTATGCACTAAAAAAAGCTTTAATAGGTAGTAATAAAGTTATCCTAAAAAAAATCTAAGATTTAGGATTTGTTCGGGACTGCTTTTTTATTGCTTTCTAAAACGGAGTTTTAGTACAAAAATTTTTAATTTTTGTACTAAAACTCCGTTTTAGAAAGCAATAAAAAAGCCGTCCCAAACGAAGCCTTAGTTTATGACAGCTTTCTAAAGCAGCTTTTAAATATAAGTATTTGTAATTAAAAAAAAAATTATATTAAATTTAAAATTATCTCTATAAAATTTTAAAATATTTGTACTCATTGGTTTTGAATTTCAT